AATAACCGCAAATGACGAAGTTTCAGCAGATTTGGTGAAAACAGCTGTGCCGCCCAAATTGGCGCCAAACGGCGCCAATGGCGCCAAATGACACCAGCATCAAAAATGAATGTCATATTCGTAATCAGGGCATCGAATTACCCCAATAGACAAAGTTTCGACGAAAAATGAAACTTTGAGATTTTGGGGCAGTAATCGTGGGATAGTGCCCAATCCGGCAATAGGGGAAGGCTGAAAACGGTGAAAAACCAAAGTTTCAACTGGGGGAAGTAATGCATATCATTCGATAGCATTTTTCACGGGGAAGCTAACGGGGCACATTTCAGGTCTGCGAGTTCATCTGGAAATGCAAAAAATCTGAACATTCCACAAGGGCATGACGAGGAGGCATGTTTGGGGCCACACCACGGAAGGAACGCTCACTTGCGACCGAGTTTTCCACATAATTCCTACAGACAAGTGACCATAGTCTACGACAGTGAAGGAAATTCTTCGCTTCCTTCACAGCTTTCTACAAAACATTCCTCTAAAAATGGGACTTGTCACATAATAGGCCCACTATGCCTGCTGAGAACTGTTCAAAGATTCCACTTGATATACAGAGGATGGGATATTGAGAGCAGAGGGAACACGTAAAGCCAGTAAGCGCTTAAAAACGAAATGAAGATCTAAGAATTCGGAAAATAACATTCATCTAATCTCACAATGTAGTGGATGAGATTGAGTACGTGGCGCATTCTGGGGTAAGTTTTGAGGCCCTTCTCTGTGTGTAGCGGTCAGCCCGCATAAGCGGGATTATATACACATCACATGCGAGCAACTACTTTTTGAGATGAAAATCGAGTGCATGGCGCAATCCTATATGGAGCTTTTCCAAAGTATCAAAGCACATTCTTATAGTGTCCGACGAGCTGGATTCAAATATACAGGGTGGCCAGAAATTACGGTAACAAGATGAAGGGGTCATAGGAAATCTGTACAACTAGAAAAAGATAGGTGGGAAACAAGAACGTGTTCACTGAAGGGTAATGAATGTAAAACCATATGGTCCTTCCCAGTAGCCCCTATCCGGTTTGAAAAAAGCGCGAAGTCTTCCAGGGAATGCACTGACTGCGGCGTGTTGATGAGCGGCCCCGACCGCTCGCAGGTCCAGGCATTATGAAGCGGTTCCTTCAATCCCTTAACGTCACCATGATGTCAGCGGCAGGTGCTGGTCTTCCCCACTCTTCGTGAAGCGTGAACCAGTAGATTTGAATTGGGAACTCTAGGTCGCAACTTTCCAAACGCAATTATCTCTGGGCAATTCAGCTGGCAAGAACTTTGCACAAATTTTCTCGTGTGCCGGTTCAACAGAAACGTTCGATGAGGTTGCTATTTCTTCCCTTGGTTGGAGGAATTATTTGAGTGAGAAAGAAATCGAGATGGTCTTTTCTCTTCTATTTTATGTTTTGTGGAACAAAAGTCAAAAGCGACGTGATTTTCGGTTTCATCACCGTAAAAACCTTCACTGTTTCCGGACCCAGTTATGTCTGAGATATTGAACTTTGGCTTGTTTGGAATACAGTTTTGGTCGCTCTATCCATTCATGACTAATTCGACTGTGAGTACTTCCTCATCAGCGAAAAAGGTTGTCAATATGAACTGAGACAACGCCTCCGTCCAGCTCCAGCTCCTCTTCAGTTTGCTCGCCTCATTGGAGAGCTGAGCTGTTCCAAGCTAATGTGCCTCACCCATGGGATGTCTTCTGACGATCACATGCAAAGAAGTGCACCTGGTCCCTAACACGGGAAAAAATGACCTGCTGAATGTGCTAGATTCCATCGCTGCTCAGCGCCTACTTTTTCAACATTGTTCTCAGTAACAACAAAAGCTCCTCTCCCACGTGCAATCCAATCGCTTCTAGCACCTAGCCAATTGTTCTTCGCAATAGTGGTTGTTGCAGCTTTACTGAAGATCCTGATTCGCTTTGCAACGTAACACCACCAGACATGTTGAAGAAGCAAGCGGGTCGTTATTTCATGAAGAGCTAAAGGCTTAAACAATCCAAACTAGGTAGAATCCGAGTGGTAAAATTAAAGAGTGAACATCGTATCAATAGAATCAAATGCGCAAAAGCTATACTCAAAACCCCTTTCGTTTAATCTTAGAATTGTACACGGTACGCTCTTGTTACCGTAATTTCTGGCCACCCTGTATATCTTCGATACTTGCGAAAGCTTCAATTTTTGAAACCGAGTTAATAACGAATTCACGATTTAACGGAGGCCTCGCGTGTTATTGCGCGTGTGAATTTTGCGCGATTTCACAAGGCGTAGTACTCGTACGGCTTCCAGATCAATCCTCCAAGAATTCTACGCCAACATTGAGCGAATTCTAGTTTTCTTTTGGAAAATGCTCTACTGAAAAAGGAATATTTTGGAACGTGGACATGAAACTGATTTTAACCGTTATTCCGAAAAAGTCTCAAAAGCTAGTACTCAGAAATCAGAACCGCAATCTCAGTCGACCCTTTTCGAGCTAATTAAGCTGAGGGGAAGGTGTTGCCTCTTATGTGCATCATAAAACAGTTACCCAATATACAAAGACTGTACTCTTGTCGAACATTTTATGGCCATCATTATCGAAGGTGAAATTTATTCAAGAGAAAGACAGAAAGGTACTACGATGGAGAAAAAGGAGTAAGTAGTGATTTGATTGGTTCTGGCAATAACAAACGACATGCCTCACCATCCGTTGTGGAAATCATTTATGATTCAAACCATAAAAAACTTTACCGCGTGCAAATTCGTTCACCAGTAGCAAAAAGAAGCCAACAAGGCGCATCGCTTGGCTGTTAGTGATAGCTTATCACCAAACAGCTTTCATGCAAAATATGAGCACGTTGTGATGGCCGAGCGATGAAGAACGCGAAAGGGTAACAGAACCTTTCTCTCAAGCTCAACTTGTCTCCATGTTTGCGGATCATTATGAAGAGAGATTCATTCGAACATGGGAAAGATCTCTGACATTTATATCGACGCAGATCCGTACCTTGTATGTCTAACACCAATCCGGCCTCGGTCGATAGCAGGGTCAAAGGTCTATTCAGAGACGAGAGTCGTACCTGTGATTTTTGGAGAGAATCGTAATCGGAGTCAGCAGCGTTAAATGTCCGCTTATGTGCTTTATGTGAGTCGTATACGTGGGAGTTGAGGGGACACATTGGTTGAATTTTTTTCAAAGGAACAGGGAGCTTCTTGTTGTAAACCAACTGGACGTATGTTTCCTACGTCTTGTTGTCGTGTAAGGAAATCATTCGGGGGAGCCCCTGACTTGAGAAAGCTACAATACTCACAAAAGTGCTACGAGATGTTTGAAGTTGCGCCTGAAGTGAGATCTCCGAGATATTTTCTATCATGCGGCCGATTTTATTACACTGTTATATACATAAGTGCTATGTAGGTGATTCGACAATTTTTTGCGCACCTATGAGAAACTTTTAGCACGCTGTTGATGGCCATTATCCCATCATAGGTTATGCCATTGTATGCGACGATTTAAAAAAAAAGCCTAGATGATTGGTGTAGCCCTCATCTCTCATAATCTGGTATCATTCGAACCATCCCATCGCCACAATTTCTCGTGAAAAACAGTGCGGCTTCAGGATCGCTGAGCCTGAGTCTAAGCCAAACGACCCAGCTGCGCTCCATTCGAGTTTGTGCGCCAGTTCGTGGACAAGAAGAGATAATCAAGCGAATGGCAAATGAGCAGCGTCGAGTATGTGAATATGTGAATGCAACATGAACACTCTGCAATATATAACGTGTATTATAAAAGCCGAAAGCAAAGTCATCATGTAGTGTAATAATAGCTCAACAAAAAAGAGTAATACAACTTTATGCTATTGGCTTTGAATCTTTTGGAATTGAATTGTCCTTGTGCTGCTCACCAGTGCAAGCCAGTTTTCCCTGCTCCGGCGTTTTTTAGGTTATTCATTTTCACCGCTGTCTATTTTCAATCAATAAATTCCTTGGCCTTGCACAAAGTGATCACGGCTTCCAGAGCAGGTCAAAGCAACAAGAGAGGATGTACCGAAGCTCTTTCTGATAATACGAGTGCTGACTTCTGGCAGCCAATCGACCGTAGCCAACATCTAGGCACTGCTCCCTCTGTGTCTGAATTTGAAAATTTTTCTGCTGGCCGACTCATAGATGCTATTTTATAGCGCAACTCCGACCCCTTGATTAAGAGTTGCTCTTGCTTTTAGCGGACAAGATTCCTTAAAGAGACTTCAGAGGCCGTTGACGCCGAGAAGCGCTCGAGGAGCATCGTTGTTGCTGGAATTGAGGAAACTTCGTCGGATCAGCGCCTACCTGAGCGTCAAATGAAACTAGAAACAAAGGTGTCTAATCTTTTAGATGCACCAAACCTTGAGTGGAGGCCACTCGAGGTATATCGTATGGGAAAAAGTGATCCAGATTAAAGACCGAGGTCAGTAAAAGTTGTTTTCCCCTCTAACGAGGGAATGCTCAAGTGGTCAGTCCGGCTATTTATAATGAGATGTAGTCCAGTGGACGCGTCTTGCGACGCTGAGCTAAATCGGTTTTCGTTGAGTCGTCTGCGGAACGATTCTCTGAAAGAAGTACGAGGGATTCTTCCAAGAAAGAGCCAGAGAGCATCCACGGGATTGGCCAAGTGGCCTAGTGGATATCTCCCTAGACCCATATGAATGTGGTCACATGATCGGATCCATAGAACCACGAAGCTTTTGCATTTTTTCTTGGCTCCCCATGCGAGCCCAAAAGGTGTCTATATTTGGTTATTTTGTTGATTTGCGTCTCCACGTGACATATGGC